CTGTCAGAAAATATTAAATAAACGATATTTATCAAAACTATAAAATCGTCAACTACAATGTAGACAGACGTTTTATAAGTTTTTTCAGATTTTTAAAAATACTTTAAAGTGAAGAAAAATAATCTCAAATGTGACAGACTCACATATACACTCCAGGAGTACAAGAAACGTATACAGATAGAGAATTAATACTTTTGTATGTAAAATAATTAGAAGCATCATATATTATATAAATAAAATTATACAATTCTTAATATTGGGCGACCATAAGATCTAAGCTCTGAACATATGGGGCGCTTTTTTCCAATTTGATTGTATATCAAAAACGGTCGTGTTTCTCATAGTATTTATATTCATACAATTCTATTTGAAAAATGATAAGTACCTTTATGTAAGTTTAAAAAATTAATTTTTTTAAAATTTATTTTACCATTATATTTATCTTTGTAAAAATCTTACAACTTTTGTACATACTATTTTTTTTAAAAACATGTATTTAAAAAAATATACAAATGCTCTGTTAAACTTCATACAATTATTAAAATAAACATATTAATAGATTATACATTTGGATCGAGTACAAGCTAGAACTCCTAAAAACTCTAATTTTAATAATGGTAACGTACCATATGAATTACTCATACGGAGTAATACTGTTAATACTAAAAATTTAGGTAAATATAACCCGAGTAAGACCAATGTCGCTGATCTTGTCTCTATTCCACTAAATGAAGTGTTTAACACATCCAATTATTTTGTTTGTAAGTTTTATTAGCGAAAACCATATTTATACGCGTATCTTCCTTGTATTCTGAAAATATTAAAAACATTTTATAATATTATATTAATAAAAATACTTAAAAATAATTTCAATTATTATATATAAATTTATATTTCTTACACTACAGCATTGGAAGGGTACGTTAAAACAAATTTCGCTAACGTTTATAATAGTAAGTTAAAAAAAATAATTGGCTGTGGATCAATCACAAATGGTACCTACAAAATGGAAATACATGTTATAAACTTTAACAAAGATAAATATCTTAAAATTAACAAACTCCTTTGCTTCGACCAAACTGGCTATTTTTATTTAGTTAGCACAACGCGTTTCGACCATGATTCCGGTCCTTTTCAAGTGCGTACAATATTAACCGCTTGCAAATCACTCCATTAAATCAAAGTGGCAGCAATGAGTCTACGAACTAAATACACAGAAGGTATAATAATTAATAAAACGAACTAGAGCGGAAAAAGAAAAATAAGGAGAACACTAATTAAACAGAGCAACGCTTACATGATTTGCAAGTCAGATGGTGAAATTAAACAAGTAATATTAGCAGATGTCATACAGTATGGTGCGTTCACGTTAGATGACAACGAACAACTGAGTGAGAAACGAAGGCAGAGGTGACTGAGAGCGCTCACATTAATTTTATTATTTTGTCATATATGACAGGAAGGTTATCGGTGTCCTTCTGTAAATTAACCGTGTTATTGTTTTTCTTGATAAATACCATTTCGGCTATCTCTCTCTTTTTAAAGTGTTTCTCGCTATGTAGAACCTTGGTACGAGACCAATTAAAATTGTGATTCCAAGAGGTCTTATGCTTGCTAACTACAGAATGATTACTGGGATGCTTTTTAATATCCGCACGATGTTCCTTGATTCTCGTCTCCAAATTTCTTTTGGTCTGTCCGATGTAACATGCCTCGCAATTCAGACAATTGATCTCATATACAAGCTCAGTGCGTTTCACGCTTGCCAGTCTATCCTTGCCGCTATTAATAATACGATCGAGTTTTTTGGAAACTGTATAAACCACGTCGAATCCTTTGTTCCTCAGGGCTTTACAAATACTCTCACTGCAACCCTTAATGTAAGGGATAGTGACAGGATGTCGTGGAGTGTGAATTTTGTCATTTACAGAATGGCGGCGCTTTAAGAGCATTAATCGTCGTTTTATGTATTTGTTACAAAAATTAGTCGGATAACAATTATCAGAGAAGATCTGTTTAACAATACGGATATTAGGCTCATGGAAGCGCTCGTTAGAAAGTAAAATTGCTCGGTCAACCAAATTAGATATAACATTGATTTTAGTTAATAGGGTGACTTGAATAAAAATTAATGTAACGTCCTGAGAAGGTCGGTTTCCTGTACCAATTTGTCAACAGATTTTCACCGTTTCTAGTGACGGTCACATCTAAAAAGTTGATCGAGAAATTAGACTCAGTTTCACATGTAAAATTCAGCCGCGGGTGATAGCTATTAAACGCGTCTAGAATGTCATTTAATTTATCGCGTGGGATAATTGCAAATATGTCGTGAACGTATTATATCTCCCAAATATGGGAAGCAAGAAACTTAATATTTCAAGACAATGTGATTCAAGGTCGTCCATCACTATGTCGGCAAGGATTGGGGAAAGGGGAGACCCCATAGGACTACCAAAAATTTGCTCGTAGATATTACCGTTAAATCGGAAGCTAGTGGAACTTAGAACAATGTCGATCGCGTATAAAAATTGTTGCAAGATGAATTTGGTGGTCGTAGAGATGTGACACCATCGTTTTTCGATGCCTCTCATAACAAGCT